CGATATTGCATCTATTTCCTGCAAGTGTGCTTTGGAGTTGAAATGAGGATTTTTGTTGCAAACCAGATTCTTGAGCCATTTCAATCTCATAAGCTTGAACTTCACTTATCTTACGATGAGAAGCAAGCATGTGAGTTGTCTCCTCAAGTTGTAAGGGATGATTATGATCTTCTACAAACTCATGAATTATAAACTTCCCATTCTTCCCCAAAGATACTGCAATTCTGGCAGAACAATCTGTTCTTGTCTCAGCTCTATGTTTAGCAACTTGACAATCTTGTTTCTTCCCTTTTCGAAGACCTTCTTTACAACAAACGTATCTGCAAGAAGTAATAGCACCATCTTCCTTTCTCTTATTAAAATACTGCTTTCTAACTCCAAATCTGATCCTCCTACCATATTCAGTCCAAAAATTCCATGCTTGTTCTACATTATCAAACTCTAATCCAACTTTTGGCTTCCAGTCCACAATGTTTTTAGTTATGTCTTCTACCAAAAACATAAACAAAAAATCCCATGTTAAACATCTCACATTATGGAAAATTTAGGATATAGCAAATGCAAAAGACGTAAATGTTAAAATGAAAAAAGATACCTGACAATGGAGATGGTTCCATGGTTATCAATGTCAATAAAGCTTCAAGTTAGTATATGTTGAATGTAACTTGTTTTTTTTTTTAAGTCTCTTATTTGTACCAAGCATGTATATTTTTAAGAGAGAGCATTTTAGGGGTTAAATGAAGCTTTTCTTCAAGCTTACGCCACACAAATGAAAGATTCGCGCCAAAACGACGCTTTTTCGCTTAAGCGTTCATAGACCGCTTAAGCGAAAGTTATAATTTTTTAGCTAGAATTTTCGCATAAGCTCATTACGGCTTAAGCGATACTTTATTGGCTTAAGCTACTAAAGGTCTCCAAATTGAACTTCTGAGAGCGGTTCAAACATAACCGCTCTCATAAGTGCACATCTGAGAGCGGTTCAACTATAACCAATCTCAGAAGTACACTTGGAGAGCGGTTATGTTTGAACCGCTCTCAGAAGTTCAAATCAAAAGTTCAAAATTCAACTTCTGAGAGCGGTTACGCATGAACCGCTCTCAGAAGTTGAAAACTCGTTCAAAATTGAAATTTTGAGAAAGGTTCAAACATAACCGCTCTCATAAGTTCAATTTAAACTTCTGAAAGTTTTGAACTTGTGAGAGCGGTTCAAACATAACCGCTCTCATACGTGCACTTATTAGAGCGGTTCAAACATAACCGCTCTCATACGTGCACTTATTAGAGCGGTTCAAAAATAACCGCTCTCTAAAGTTAACTTATGAGAGCGGTTCATATATAACCGCTCTCATAAGTGAACTTGGAGAGCGGTTATATTTGAACCGCTCTCAGAAGTTCACTTGTAGAAAGTGGTTGAAAGAATAACTGCTCTCCAAAGTTCACGAATTTGTCGTCGTCGCCCAGCCTTAAACCCATTCTCTCATTTCATTCACTTCATTCTTATATCAAAAAATATTGAAAAACCCTAAACCCCACCCCAAATCCAGGATTCTCCCCATTGCAGCATTCCTCTCCCATTATCAGAGCAACCCAACGATTCCAGGTAAGAACTCTTACAGCAATATGTTGTTCTCCTACCTTTTAGGTTAGGGATTGTTCCATGCTTCTGGATACTATTATGGAAACAATGCTTTCAAGGGTTTAGGGTTAATGTTTTTAGAGTTTAGGATTATCACTCTGTTTGTTGTTAGATTGATATCAATATTTATGTGAAGCAAAGTTCTTTCTGTAAAGAAACGCTTAAGCACGCCTGATTTTGGCTTAAGCGAGTATTGAGATTTGTCAAAATTATGTGTATTTTCCAATTATCTGAGTATTGAAATTTGTTACCTTGCAGATATGGCTCCTAAAAAATCAATTCCCCAAAGAAAGAAGCAACGTTCAGATGTTGGAGAGGCTTCACAACATGTACACCATACAGGAACTCAGGATAATGAACCTTTAACACAACCGAGCCCCAGTCAGCAACTTACCTTTGACAGATACAGGTTCTTCAGTCGAGCGCATTTTCAGAGATATTTGGAATTACACCCAAGGGAACTTCTGCCTGAAAGGAAAATTATTTTGGAGGAGGGACAATTTGCTGAATTTACAGAAGAGCTGCAGAGGAGAAAATGGAATATATTGGCTGACCCACCAAATAAAATTGATGTAGACATAGTGAAGGAGTTTTATGCCAATGCATGGCCCTTGCATCCACAAAAATCTGAGAAGAAGTCTTGCGTTAGAAGGACATCTATCTCCTATGATAGAGATGCTATCAATGCATTACTGGGGAACCCCCTCACCTTAGAAGAAGGACAATTGTGCGAATACCAGCAGCGGAGGCGCCTGACCACAGGATTTAATGATGATGATGTAGCAAGGTCCTTATGCATTCCCAACAAATCATATGAAACTAACTATCAAGGCAAGCCAATGAGGTTCAAGTGAGGGAATTTGAAGACACTGACTCAAATATGGATGTCATTTCTCTTTGCAAACATTGCTCCAACCACTCACACATCAGATCTCCACATGCCTCGGGCCTACCTTGTCTTCAGCATTATGGAAAACCTCATAATCGACATTGCAACTATGATCTCTGAGGAGATTCACCAGCTTGTTTTGTCCACCAACTCCCCTAATGCATCTGCAACAAAGCCCTTGGGCTTTCTAGCATTAATCACTGCTTTATGTGCTGCCCAAGGTGTTCAGATACCAAACAATCCAACACAAAGCATCAAGTTGAAAAAACCTATAAATGCCCAGTTCATAAACAACTATTGCATTAACTCATTGGACCAGCCACAGCCACAACCACACCCAGATTCTGATCCTTCTTCATCAGCACCACCATCAGCACAACCATCCATCCCCAAAATGACACCCATGGAATGGCGTATCACCCAACATCTGAATCAAATACAGCAACAAATGGAGGACAACAATCGGGCATATACACATATACACTACCAGATGGCGGCTAACCATCGAGCCTACACCAGCCTTAATGACTCTTTCTATCGCTTTACCCTACACCAGCATGTAGGAGAGACTTCAACATTTCCATGGCCAACCCCAGAGGATTTTGCAGGTGTAGTGTCATGGCCTGGAGACACACCTTCCTTCTCAAATGAACCTAATGCAAATCATGAAGATGGTGGACCACAAGGAGAGGAACCAGAAGAAAGGGGAGAAGGAGAAGGGGAAGAAGAAGAAACGGAAGCACAACTTGATCATGAAGGTGGTGATGGGGAAGGAGACCATGTGGAGGACGACCAGCCTATTCATAATGATGTTGATCTATAAGATGCATGAACACTTTGTTTTTTCTTTATTTGGTTTTAAAGTTTAGATTTTAGTTTATGTTTGAAGTTAGTTCATATTGTAAAGTTTCAAGGACCTATTTAGTTTGTTGCAGCTAAATTATGAAATTTCACTTTATTAACCACCTATCTAAATTCCTTTTATTTTGATTCTCTTTTATAATTTGTATGACTTGTTTACTAAATAAATCCAACAAATTATCTTATAAATTAAAACTTGTCACATACATATAGTAATCATTTTATTTTCTTTTGCCAAAAACAATTATGTAAAGGACAAATGTATTTTGTTTTCAGAAATAGTATATCCATGTCTGTCAATTTAAGCTGCTGTTTTTCAATTTTCCTGCATTTTCGCTTAAGCCCCCCAATAATCGCTTAAGCCCACAAATTTCGCTTAAGCTATATAGTTCTCGCTTAAGCTGGTATTGGTTCGCTTAAGCCAATATGTTATAGCTTAAGCCAGTTTATCAGTCCAAAAGAGCATTCTCTCAGCATTCTTTTTATGCAATTTTAGCTTAAGCTAAAGCATATCCGCTTAAGCTATTGGTTTCTCCGCTTAAGCCAAGTCATGAAGGCTTAAGCGAATGTGTGATCCTGGGAGGTGTGCTTTCTGTTTTTTTAGGCTTAAGCCATTAAAGTTTCGCTTAAGCCCATCATATACGCGCTTAAGCCTTATAAATATGCGCTTAAGCCCACAACTCATCAGCTTAAGCTAAATCAAGCACGCTTAAGCCATTTTGTAATCCTTTTTGTTATTTTTCGCTTAAGCGAGTATATTTTAGCTCAAGCGCATCACCCATTCGCTTTAGTTCAATGTGTCGCTTCATGCTTGTGGTATTGGCTTAAGCCTTCGTTCGCTTAAGCTCAGCCTATACGGGCTTAAGCTAAAATTGTCAAATTCGCTTAAGCCATGTCAAAATGGCTTAAGCGAATGAAGAACTGCACGTGCAGTTCCTGCATCAACTGCACTGGATCCGTATCCTCTATTTTTAAGTTTTATTAAAATCTTCATTTTATCATGTGATTTTTTCTATATTTAATATTTTAAAATATTATTTCTTAATTTCAATTTAAAATCTTAATAAATTGTATTAGATCAAAGATTTTTTATTTTTAAATAATAATAATAATAATAATAATAATTTTATTTTTAATTTATAAATTTAAAAGCAATCATGCAATGAACCTTTACTTTTTATTTAAAAAGAATAAATTAAAATTACTTGCGTAATACACAAAAGAACTTACTAGTTCTTCATGAAGAGACAAATCCTTACAAGAATATTCCGTAATAAATGAAAATTGTTTGCGTAATCTTATGCGTGCATGTGCTTGTGAATAATTGTGGGGTATTGCTAAAATAGACAATTTATTTAGCATATGAAAGATTTATACTACCATATTATATTTATTTTTGTAATTTTAATAGAAATGTATTATTATCATCTAATAAAATAAAATTATTAATAATGAACACATCTCTTATTATACTTCATTTTTTGACATGTAAAATCACTTTTATTTTATAATAGTGATATTTTAATCTCACATATTAATGTTTTAAAATTTTATGTAAATTTTAAAGTATTCTGGTAAACATAAAATTAAGAGTGTGGGGCTTTAATAGATATGATGTACAACTTACTAAAATTTAAACATATATGACTTAAAATATTCAGTTCTTAAATAAGAATTTATACACAAATATTTTTTCAAAACAAAAATACTTTAAATTATATGGCTACAAACTAGTATTTCTATATTTGACGGAAATAGACTCCATGAAAAAAAAGGGGACTCTTAATGTTTTGCTCATGATGCACTTGTATCCCTTGTCTAATCTCTCTGTGTGTGTGTGTGTAAAGACAGCCAGTGCTTGAAAAGTCAAATTGTGTTTGTGTCATGATAACAGAGAAATATCTACTCAATTTCCTCTGATTTTTCACACAGAAAAATCACATTTGATCTCCACTGGTAGACTCACATGTCTGTCCCTTATGGCCAATAAGTCCCCATCATCACCATGCAAGTAAGCTTTCAAGAATGCAACTATAACTCCTCCAACAAACCTTCTCATGGGTTCTCTTGACTCTCCATTTTTGCATAGACAATAGGTAGCTTTGCCCCTAATCCCTTTGGTATCATCATCTAGCATGTCACAGTGGCCATAATCCTTGGCCACAAAATACCAAGCTGGTTTCTTACATTCATTAAAGAAGTTCTCATGGTTGACACCCTTAGGTGCACAAGGGGGAAACAAGGGGTTCCTTTTCACTTCACCTAAACTTGAACCAATAACCATCACTGCCATATCAAAATCAAATGATTGAGGAACATAGGTGAGAACTGGTGGGGGAGTTTGCTTTCCTATGTCCATTCCATCAACTGGGTCCACACCTATTAATGCTGAAAACTTGAGATTGGTGGTTATGTTTAATCTTCTTAGAGCAAGAGCAAATGCTGTTTTGCCTCCACGACTATGGCCGGCAAGTGCTAGCTTGCCAAAATTTGGTCTTACATTTGGTGGAAGAAATTTCCGTAGTCCTTCACATAGCCAATTTGTTATTGCAGCTACAGAATGAATCTCATCACTTGTATCAGCTCCAGCCACTGTGTACAACTGTAAAGTGCAAACAAGATTTAATTGATTAACCTTGCATTTCACTTTAAGGGATTCTAACTGTAAATTAATTATATGGAAACAATCAAATCAATAGAATGCCATACCAATGCTCAATGTTTTCTTATGCAACAAATTTCACAGTAGAATTTGATTTTGCTTAACAGTGTAGGGGCTGTTAACCAATCTGTAATAGGTAGGTTGGGTTAACAGTTAATCAATATAAGTGAATTTGAGTCCTTCAATCCATTCACATTTATATAATAATAGCCTTTATGAAATTATTCCCATTGATTGTAATTTGATTTTGTTTAGGCTGTATGCTTTCTACATTTTTGTTTGGTCTTAAAGAAGAACTTAATAAGGAGTAAGGACAACATTTTAACGCCTAACTAAATTTATAACACCTTCAGCTTACAAAATAAACAAGTGTGTGCCTTTGACATGTCTTCTAGATTTGGAATTCCACATAATGCTTGCACGGTAAGGATCAGAGTCTTCTCAGTCTATTGTTTCAGAAAACTCAAGTAAAGGTAATAGAATATTGGTCTTAGCATTGACTGAACTCAGATCATTTCGATATGAAGCATTGCATGGAATCCTAAACAAAGAGCCAAGCCAGTCAAAGTTATGCACTTGCTCATTATTATGTATATTTAAGGTGTACATTTAGGTATTCAACAAGAACATACATCGTGCAAATATCTAAACTCTATTTGGATAACATTCAAAGGTAGCCCACTGTTTCAGAACCATAAAATATTACAAGGGGTAGTAGGTTACATAAATGAATGGAAGCTCATAAGCGCTGGACATGTAAGGATGAACTAGGCCAGCGTAATAAGTACTTTAGGGGAGAATAAGTTTATCCCATCTCTCAACATGCCTCATTCTTATAAGAGGTTGTTCACTATCTTGAGATGTAGGATACTGGCAAGAGCAATTGCTATCTTCTTTTTAAGGCGTGGAATGCCCCTATTAGAGTAAAGTGAGTCCGTAGATTACGAAATTCCATCCTTCATCTCCATGTTGCGGCCTCTGAACTTAGGAAGCGCACTTGTGAGAATATCTCTTTTTAGAAGAAGCTCCCTATAAAGTTCCTTTATCCTTCTTCTTTACTCCACAGGGAAAGTTTTCAAAGACTTTGAAGTAACAAAAATGCCATGGAGAAAGAAGTCCCTTAAACTGGGAGAGGAGTTCCTAATCTTTCATTCTTTTCTTTTTTTATAGTATGTATTTTCTTGCTCCCCAAGTAGTATATTTTCTTGCTCAACAAGAAGCCCCTTTCTTGCTTTTCAACTAGCTCGCTTCGAATTTTGTCCCTAATGTTATATTTGGTTCCAAACACCCATCAATTTAACTAAATCTATTTCTAGTGCTCTATTGGCCTAATTGAGCTTAAAAATATAAGTGAACCAAATAGAGAAACTAAAGAAAAAGAACAACAAAACAATGGTTTGCCTGTCACAAGGCACAACATTTGAATGTCAACGGAGGAATAAGCTAGCTAATGGAAACAGCCGTAATCTGTTCAAAGCAAGAGAGAAATAGAATAGTTATATATTAGATAATGGCCCGATAAATATAGTATTGGTGTAAGGTATAATTCTAATATTTGCGAATCAATATCAGTTGTGATTCTTATATAGCAAATTAATATATGAAAAATGTAATTATTCATCCATAAGTAAGGATGGTAGGCGATAGGATCTCTGTACAGATCTATTTTACCTATTTCTGTACTCACATTTTAAGAAATTATTCGTACCGTCCTCGTATCTGCATAGGTAACAATTTTGATCTCTATACCCACTGGGCTATGGATACATTTTCCAATGATCTGTCAAAATTATGTTTTCAAAGTTCCTGGGCTACAATGTTCTGTCGTAGCAATGATCTGTCATACTTATAAATATGCCTAGCGTTTGCATCTATCTCAAAAAACAAATTATACCCATACAATAAACACAGAATTGATGATGATGATGATGCCAGTAAAATAGATTAACCTCTCTTTATCCGGTATTTATCCTCCTCTATTAATCAAGTAATGACATGATAAACCAACCAGAGATCATCAATGTTTTTGTACAAATTAATGATCCAAAGTATTTTGCCAAATAGGAAATTCAAATGAAATGGTATCACAGGAGACCAAGACAGGGAACTCATTGAAATGCTTATACTCAAAAATGCTATTGTTCTTTTATTGTATTATTAATTCCATTTTCCTGTATAGGAGTGACAGTAACAAAAGTCACAAAGTGACACACTCAAAGATATGCATTAACTGAAATCTTATCATAGACAAAATGGTTGAAGTTCCACTCTATAAACAGTTAAAACAATTACCAAGTGTCAGAGGTAGTGAAGCAACTACTCTTCTGTTTGGATCAGTTAGGATTATATACATGAACCATGAACACCTATGATAAAGGGAGAAATAGATCATTCAGCTTCCTTGTCCAACCACTTTTTTTTAATTACTAGCAGTGATATTTATTTTAATGATAATATTTTTATTACCCTCTTCCTTGCTAATCCTTATTTTGCCTATCTCTGGTGCTTTTGATAGTTATAAAAAAAAAGAAAGTAAAGGAAAGTATTAATCAACGGCCAAGGGAAAAAGGAATAGTACTTGAATAACAATAATATGCTAGTAGCCGATGGTGTTGTTAAATTGATTTTCTCAGAATTGCCTCTTGCAAAGCAAAACCAAATTTGTTATTAGATTAAGGTGTCAAAAGGTGACTAACCTGAGGGGCAATAACAATGAAGCCATGAGAAGCGATGTGTTGGATAAGCTGAGAGTAAAATGAATTGTAAAGAAGATAGCCATGCAGGAACAGCAGAAGTGGGAATTCTTCAGCATCAAGAGGAGTGGCAATCAAGAGAGATTTTGGTGGTGGAACTGAACATAGAAAAAAAAAAAAAAAGTAGACAGTGAACTGAACTGAGCCTTGTGCAATAATAACAATAATAAAATCTTAATTGTAACAGAGAGTTGGAGGAACCAAAAGTGTACTATTAAGTGTATGTGATTCAGATTCGACCCTTAGCAGCTCGGTGGTGTAGTTGCCAGTATAAAAGACATTAGTAGATGGATAGGAACACATAACTGATAGTTAAGCTTCTGCTAAGTTTTTGCCTTAACTTGCAAGAGTTTCTTTTTGCTGCAGAATTAGATGACAAACTAGTGGCTGGTTTAGTTCAAGATCTCATGGAAACAAAGAAGATATTTTTGGTGGACTCTTGTTGGGTCTACAGGCTGGCCCAAATATAGTTTGAGGATAAAAAGATTCTACGTGTTTTAGGCTATTCATGATATGGGCCTACTTGAGCCAATAAAAGATGAGAGACCATAAGATCTTTCCAGGCTAGGCCCAATACTTTGTTACGTGCCATGTTCTGAGTTGACAAAAACAAAAAAATTTGATAATTTTTGTAAACCTCCACGTTGTGGGTTGTAATTTTTTTAATATTTTAAAAAATAAAAAATATTTATATATTTTTTAAATGAACTATCAATCTTATTATTTATTGATATAAAACTAATAGTCATAATTGTTTTATGTGAACATAAAATATTTTTTTATTTTACATAGTACCATGAAATTTACTTTTGATGATCAAAATAATACTTTTGTATGTGCCAAGTCCTACTTGTCGCATAATTATGGTGCGTTGGTTAAGATTTTGACTATATTATTTTTAAACAATTGATATTACCAAAATAGCAAAATAATCATCAATACTTTTTCCACATTTCTGTTTTCGCTGACTTCTTTTAAAAATGTAAATGTTAACTAGTATTATTAAAGGAATATTTTATTAAAAAATTATTAATATTTGCTCACCATGACTTTCGGTGGACTCAAAACAGATTTTTCTAATAAAAATTTTATTTATTATTTCCTTATAATAGTATACTATTTCCAACGAACATTATAATAATATATTTTAAGTACAAAAACCACATATAAGCATCACTTCAACGCTGATCTATTTAATGCTACGTAATCTTTTTTTAGCCAAGCATAAAAGCATCGAATTTAGTTGCTTTAATTTTTATTTAAATATTTATAAAAATAATAATAGTTAATATATTATTTAAAAAATTGATTAATATTGGAGCGGGTACTAACGAGTGTTATTAGTGAGATAGGTGAGGTCGGTCTCGGGGAAATTTGGGTGGGGCAACTATCCAATTGTCGACCACTTTCTTTTAAACAAAGAATTTAAAGAAAACAAGGAAAGTGGAAGAATATAATCCAAAACAATGATGGCTCTATCTCATAAACCTTAAAACTATTCTCGGGATCCAATCTGGGAAAGCCAATCAAAACCAACACCTATAAACAAAAACATAAATCAGCCTGTGTCTTTATCTTCAATATTACACTTCACTCAAATGTGTCTCTTTTTTTCCCTTTTGACTACCCCGGTCCAAGATGCCCCTTTTCTTTCCATATCAGCAAGAGAACACCTAGGTTCACATGATTTTCACTTTGGTTCAAATGACTTTACTTTTCCCTTCAAAAAATACATCAAAATATGTTCCCCAAGACTAAAGAAAAGTAAGAAACCCCCCATATGGCACATCTAGAGCTTCAATTTACCCTTTTTACATTTGGATCAAAACCCCACCATGCATCAAAAGACCTACTATGGATCCTATTCCCTTCTCCCAAAATTTCTTCTCCATCACAATCAAATGCTACATATTCGGTTTTTGTTGTTCCTTTCAGCAGCAATAGAGAGAAGCCTTGACACACCTTGAGTCCACACATCATACTCTCTCTGATTTCTACACTCAAATTCAACAACACCACGCATCACTGTTTTCAACCCAAAATAGCGACGGTTCTCACCACCTTCTAGCAAGTGGCGACCAGGCCAAGCGGGCATGTCTTTGATCACTCCAAGCACCACATCTGTGAAAAAAGGAGTTTGAAATTAAACTTAAAGAATAACCCATTTGATCCTTTTCCAACTTTAAACTAAAGACTATAACTTTCACAAATCCCCAAATGCAACAAGACCCACCTCCAAATCAGTTAAATTATTAGCTAGAGTGGGACAAAAAAAAGTAACCATAAATCAAAACTCACTCACTCTTTTTCTTTTTTGTGATGGTCCCGGCAACGTGCCTGCTCTTCATCTTCACCATAACCTGCACAAAAAGAGCTTCCAAAGGGTTATCACAATTGCACATTTCTCGGAAAACTAAAACAATATGATCCCTTCCCTTGACATCACATCATACATGCTAAGCCCCCCTCGTCACTTTACAACTTTTTCCACAACCAGGTTCATACATACTCATCATCAAAACTCTTAATTGATGACCAAATAATTGGTAATCTATCCTATCCTCTAGAATCAAAAGTACATTACATAATTTGGATCAAAGAGAAAAATTAAATTAAATTAAATTAAAATCACCTGGTTCATCCTGTTTATATAAACAGAAACAATTTTCCAATGGAGTTCACCTGCAAGTAATTCTCAAATCAAATCACATTCCAATCATCATATACACAAAATTATTAAGAAACACAAACCATGCAAAGAACAAAACTAAAAGAAACAAAATGTAATGTAACAAAACAGAAACGTAAATTTGAGGAAATTTACCAGTGCGTGTGCGCTTGAGAAGCTCACAACCTCTTGCTAGCAATTCTCTACTACAGATACCCAAGAAATTTTCTTCAGGCACAAGTTCCCCACTGAAGCTACTGTTAGAACTACCGTTGCTACCATTCGCACCACCACCTAAATTCTTCTCCACTGGAATCACAGCTGCAATATTCCAAACCTCCTTAAGAACCCTCGCTTTCAACGTGGCAGCGCCACGTAAAGCTGCAATTTCAAGCCACAAATACCAAACCCAAAAAAACAATTATCCCTTTTAATTGTAATTGTAAAGCACGAGATCTGTTTTTAAGATGTTCATATTAAAAAAAGCCAAATGTAACTTAAAAGCCCTAAATAAACAAAAATAGAAAATTTGTTTCTGAAAATATTATTAATACTATTCTTTCTATAATTTCTAATAAATTTTTTAACTAGGATCGCATTACTCAAAATATAAATAAAAAACAAAAATAATGGCATCCAAATTTACAACAGGTGTAAAAAAATTTTAAGTAATGGAATTAGCTTCAGTTGTCCTGCACATACCAGTGGCTGCCGCCGCCGTCAGGGTCGTGATGTCACCGGCGGACCTCACATTCACGGCGGAGCTAACCACCGAGGCCAGGTGGTCGCGCTCAGCCCCCATGGCCTCGGCAGCCTCAACACACTGAGCAGCCACCAGCGTCGCCGCCGATGCCACTGCCATGTCCGTCTTTGCCATCTGCTCGTCCTTGCGGGAGCCCGACGAGGCAGCCGTGGCAGCGGCGATGGCGGCAACTGCGGCTGCGACACCGGCAACCGAAACAGCTGCATGGAGCTGAGCATTGTGGGCCCTGGTTTCCTCCTTCTTCTTCTCCTTCCTGTCCTTCAGCCACCTCCCAACCGTCTTGCCACCGCCTCCGGCAGCGGCGCCTCCGGCAGTGACGGCCCAGATTTGACTACTCATGCCGGTGATCATGGTGTTGTGGTTGTTGTTGGAGCGGTTATACTTCATACAGGATTGCATGTGGTTGGCCAATCAAAATCAAAATTTAGCTTAACATGGAACAATATAGATAACCAACCATTTGTAACATGAACTTGTGAGTGTAGGGGAATCGATTCATTCAGTGTTGAATTTTTACATGATGTTATTCGGTGAAAATTTTGTATTTATTTTCATTTGTAAACATTAAATAGATGAAATATTAAAAGAAAATAATAGACACAATTTTTATGTGACAAGATATGTTGCAAAACCTTGTGTGGCAGTATGCTTATCTACTAAGTGGCCTATGGCTATGTCGATCTTCTTTCCCTCCCTGTCCTAATTGTGGGGTCCACCAGCTATCAATGCTACCCAAGAGGGAAAATTTTTGAAGGCTTCGATTGCTAAATCAGGAATCACAGGGATGGTTTTCGTTGATGTTGTTGAACAAATTAACTTTGGTAAGAGGGGGACCAGAACAAGGGAGAATAACAGAAGTTGCGGATAACTGTGTATCTGTAATTGTAATGGAAACGAATAAAACTGCACTTGTTTTTGGTATTTTTGTGAACAGAAATAATAACACCCAGATAAAAGGGTCTGAAACGAAACCTTGCATCTTTACAAACTTCTCTGTTAATTATTTGTAGGTTTTTGAATATATGTACTTCAATTAAGATTTAATTTAGTGATTTATTTTAATGGGTAGTAGGAAAAGCTAGTATTTTTTTTGTTTGTTTGTTTGCATTGAGGATTGGAAAGAGAAAACCCGGTGTCATCCAAGTTTGTTTTGTGTTGGTAACAGAGAAAGCTGAAACTAGATGGTTGGTTCTAAGTGTGCAGGGAGATCAGAGCTCGTGCTTCGTACCCAACCAAAAAGTTTTATTCTATACTAAAAAAACAAGGAAAGAAGAAACAAACAGCAACAACATGGTTGTCTGTTTGGTTTTGTCGATGTATTAGAGAGAGAGTTACCTTGAAATCGTCAATTTCAGAAGGGGAAACTGGAGGGCTATCTGTTAGGGAGCCATTAAGAGGGCCACTGCTGTGAGACAGTCTCCCCGATGTGCGAGGTGATACCTCCTGCTGACCAAACTCAAAACACCATTTTCCCTTCAGTTTCTCACAAAAACAAGACTTGTTCATTGTATTGCATACAAAAAAATAAAATAAAATTTATTTGCATAAATTGAATTGTACAGAACCAGAGTGATCGAGTGGCAGAGAAAACGAGAATACAAAAAGTACATGTGTTCAATAAATTCTTATCATACGCCAATTCATAAACTATTTTCACGTGCTCTTCTTTGTTATCCACAGTGATCCTGATAGACTATAAATATGCTATATAAGAGCAAAAATACTGTGTAAGAAAGAAACTATAGATTTGTAGTTTATAGGTAGATATAGATACCGAGTGTGACATGATGCGGTCCATGACCATCTGAGAGGTTTCAGAGGAAGCAAAGGAAAAGGGGTTGCCAGAAACTGTGGCAGAGTCGTCCACTTCAGCAGCTATGTCTTCAAGTATTATGGAGGCATTAGAATTGTTAGTGTTATAACTAGTGTTGTTGTTGTTATTGGAAGGTGCAGGTGCAGGTGCAGGTGCAGGAGCAGGGGAAAGAGCCTTGGAGACTTCAAGAGAAGAGGCACTCCATGAACGAGACAAGAACTCCATGGGGTCCCACGGTGTTTCCGACGGTGGTGGCTTCCCATGAAACGGGTCGGGTCTCCACGCGGGTTTCTCCTTTTCCATTTTATGATGAGGTGAAGAAGTGTTTTTGTTAAGAGAGCTTTTATAGAGCCCCTCAGAGTTGCTCACACCGTTGATCATGGTTTACTTTCATCAACGGCTCTCGTTACTCGCTCACTTCCACAGGGTACACTTCATAATTAGTACAATTTTGGAACCTCACAACTATGTTTAGAAATTACTACTGGAGTATCTTAAAAGGTCATCAACTCACCTGCTTTTCTGCTTGAAAAATGACAAACTTCATAAATGTATTTAACTCCTGGGGTGTTTTCTTTTATTCTGTGTTTTCAGTTATAATATTATTTATATATATATATATATATATATATATAAAATATTTTATAAGATTTTAAAAGTTATTATATTAATAATATTAGATATTATAATTTTTCAATAAATTATTCTTTAAATGTTTTTTATATATTCAAATAAATTCTGATTTTTTAAGTTTGACGTATTTAGGCCTAAATATAGAGGGGCTCGAGATAGTCTACTAGGCGGACTACCCATTACATTACTTTTCCTTTTGTAAGTAAATATAACATTTTTAGGTAATATTTATTTTAAAATAAAATTATCACTCATAAAATTAATATTAAAATTATTAATTTATTTTAAATTTGTTAACATAATCAATATTTCAAATGAGAATGAAGTTGTTGCAATCGAAAATACAAAACTAGTTAAATAACTAAGAGATTAGTTATAATATTTGTTTTAAATGTTTAAGATTATTTGGTTTTTAATTTTAATTTTGTTGGATAAATATTTATTGTTTTTTCTTATGATAAAAGGGGTTAAATAGCTCAAAAGAAAACTGCATAGAACTCCTAAAAGACCCTGTGCCTAGAACATCATAGCACAAAAAAGGAAGTAGAGTGGTAGGAATCAATATTCTGTTTTTTATTTTAATGTGATTAAAAAATATTGTTAATATATATATTTTTTATTCTTGACACATTAATATATATATATATATATATATATATATATATATATATATATAAAGTGAGCTATTTGCATAAACTTATTTCTTGTATAAGGTCAGACTTAATCTATTATTTTAAAAGTTCTAACTATTTTAAATTCTTTTTAACTGGACTTACATTAGCTCGTTACTTGATGCAGGTCAACTTAAATTGGGTCATGTACCTTAATTTGACAGCTATAATGAGCCTATTTAGTGGACTGATCTAAAAATATTTTAAAAGAAAATGAAAACTTGTATGATATAATTGAAAGTCTAAATAAACTTGGATTTTTTAAGCTTAAACCATTTAAGCATGAACCCATACATTCTAGTTTACATTAGCTTTGTTATTCGATGTGGTTTACCCAAATTAAATCAGGTAGTTACAATTTATGAAATTGTATTTTAATTTAAATATTTTATAGAATAAGAAATCAAATTACACGGGTGTAAGTTACACTCACTCTTACACCATTAAGTATATAAAATAATTTTCATTGATGGTAAATTATAATTATATATTATCTAAATTATTTGTATCAAATTTTGTCAAAATAAAAAAATTTATAATATCATTATTACAAGGTTTTTATTTTCATAAATTTAAAAATTTTACATTACATTTTATTTGGGTCAAATATATAGTCACGATAAAACAATCAAATCATCGTCATCAACCTAAATCCAACGCAGACAAGCAACAAGCATCTTGGGTAATCTCAAATAAATCATAATTCAAATTATTATCCATTCTGAGATGACCCAATTGTTATATAATTTAGTCATACTACCATTTTTAACTCCTTTGACAATGAGAACTTTATTGGCGCGTCATGCAAGATTGCACAAGGAGAGGATGCACACCCACCCCCAATGAACAAATTGACATGTATGCAAAACAACAAATTCTCTAAACATTCCATGCATAAGGAAGGAATTCTCATAACTCAAGTACGCATTATATTCTAACAATGAACAACTTCCTCTAACTTGGGCATCAGAGTATTTCTTGCAAGAACACCTGCCATTGGAACTTACTCACAACAAAATACCACCATCAACCCCTACTTGAGAAAACTTACATTGAAAGAACCTTTCTCAACTGTTTAGTACACATCAATGTTAATTTTGATGTATATGAATAAGGTGTCAAATAATTTTCAATCAATCTTAAATTGTGCATACATGATCTATGTGATTGGAACTTTTAATCTTAAAATTGATTTTAGGATTAAATTTTCCTACAAAATGTAACTTTTAATCCTCTCTCTTTATATGTTAACACACACATAATTTGGACATTTGTAGATTTTAAAAACATGATACTCATTAAAATAAAATAAGCGATGAAGTACCTATTAATTTTATTTTTGTATGTATTTCTATAAAGTTGATATACTTGATAAGAACCTTCAAACTAATAGTTAAATTAGTCAATCTTACATTTTATGAAAGGTTATTAAGTAGTGTGAGTACTAAAATTTAACATTTGTGTAGATAGATCATGACTCTCTTTATATATTTATATTTTTTTTCTAATTTTTTAAAACTTACACATTAGGAACAAGATTGTTACAACAAAAAATGGCTTAAAATTTTATGAATTTTTTTACGAAAAAAGGGAAAGTGAAGAAAAGAGGTGAAGTTAAAATAAGTAAAGTAATTTTTAGGATTATTTTAAACAAAATTTGTCTTCTAAATATTTCAATCAATTCAAAATTATTAAGTTAAAATTAACTATAATGTGATTTCATCCTCATACTCAGTAATAATTATTAAGTAAGTAGAGCAACTGAAATCTTGATTCATTAAATAATCCAATTTCCAATAATTAATAAATATTGATATGAAATAATAACAAAATTTGTAATAAAAAAGCAGCATACATAGCATGACTTGATCTACTTTAATGCTTCATTTAATATGATCAAACAATTCAAGAAAAGGTTAAAGTGTCTTTGGATTAATTCCCTTTAATTGGAGCTTTTTGAAGTAACAATTGATATTTGCTTTTTTTTTTTTTTAACTAATTCTGGTAGAATTAACAAGAGAATCTTTGAGACTCTTTGTTTAAGATACACACATATACATACATAGGCACTTCTACATGTGTTGTAATTTAACAACTAATGGCTTGCTTAATATCAGGTTGAAGTCTACCCTCAAATTTCAAACATTGAGATTTATCATCAGCATGTGCAAAATAAGCGCAGTATCTCAACAATTTGTCAAATTTGACAATGTATTCTCCAACATTCATACTCTTTTATTTCAAATTAAGAAATTCTGGTTCCTTTTTTCTCCAAAGGTCTACCAAAAAGTATTTCTCCGAGAAGTGTTGACGAAACGCTTGCCAACTTATTAGGTCTCCTTTAGTTTCTAATTGTTAGTGAGCTATTCTCCACCAATGCTCAGCCTCCCTTATGAGCATAAACATAGCAAAAACTACTTTATATTTGTAACCCCCGAATTTTGTAATAATATATATATATTGATTTATTAATATGAATGTGTGAATTGATGTTTGAATATGCATTTGATTATGTGATGATTTGAATGTGAATATAATCGTGAAGATATATGTATAGTGTGGTTGAAATGTGATGTAGACTTATGACTAGGTTGGAATTGTTTGAGATATAGGGTAAATGGGTACTGCAGGGGGCGTTCTCGCTGTATCGAGAGAATTCTCGCTATAGTGAGAAGGCTTTGGGCAAAAGGCATGCCTTTATTGTGTTCTCGTTGTAGCGAGAGGTGTCTCACTATAGTGAGAAGGCAACAGAAAGGGGTATATAGACATATCGCGACCAGAAGGATATTTGAGGGGTTTAGTGTGACACCCTTACTACTCATTACGCCATCAATATAAGTATAATATTAAAACAATCCAAGCAGTAAGAAAGCCACATGTATGAGTTTATGTCTGTTCACATTAATAGAAACTAAATACACCATCTGCACCAGTTATCCAAATACATATATACATATCATTTGTCAAAATATACAATCATCCAGTCATATAAACATATGCACATAGCAAAATTACATACAAAATAAAGTGGGGTCACGATATCAGAGACAACAACAACAAAAAATGACCTCACAAGTTTTCTCCCTAGACCCATGATCATCAAAAATACCATTTCCTCCAAAAGTTAGCAACGATTGAGGATTTCTATTTACCCGTTCCCTCAGTCACTAGTAATTATACCTATATATATGTACAAATTATACTTTACTCAGCCCTACCCAACTCTCCTTTCCCACTAGGTTCCTGCTTAGAGGAATCAAAACCAGGAGGAAGTCCGGCCCGAGAATAAGTCCTCTTCTTTCCAATAGCAGTAGGGGTGTTTGAACAGTGAGAGGAATCCGGAGAGTCAGAAGAACTAGATTAAGTCGAATTTGAAATGGATGAGATGGATATGTGTCTGGGTAGAGGTATGTTTGCTATATTGGGTCGTACAACAGGTGGTAAATAAGGCCCTAAAGATCTAAGGAAATTCGGGGGTAATATTAGGGGCGATAATACAGGGACAGGAGGTGAGACATAGGGTCTCATAAACTGTACTCCAGGAGAAAATGGAAAAGTGAGTCTCATGGATACCCTGATAGGGATGGGGTATGCCTGTGGGCCTGGCCCATTTCTATCTAACAAAAAGGTAATAGGGCCAGTATGGGTGAACTGTTGTCGCTCCCAATCGTGCGCCCATCTTCCTTCAAGATCATATATGACCATGACGCTGAACTGGTACGGTGGTCGGGCCATTTGTGTCCTCACCTACTAAACATATTCACATACAGCAACTAAAAGGGTGAGACAAACCCATTTCAACCAAAGTACAGTAGAAAACACGTCAAGATATTTACAATTATTATAGTAAATAGCAACAACTCAACACACAATGTACATGCCATGTATGATTCTGTGCATCACCTAGTTAATTGCTATACTGACACATGCATATGGGCCCAAATCATTTTCTTTTTCTTTTTCTCTTTCTTTCTTTCTGGGAAGGATCAGGAGTTCACTGCTACCA